ACCTCCATTGTCCCATGGGTGACACCATCCCTAGAGGTGCCCCCACCATCGTCCCCATGGGTGCCACCATCCCCAGTAGTGCCACCAAACTCATTCCCATGGGTGCCACCATCCCCAGACCTGCCACCACAACCCTGAGACGCCACCTCCATCACCCCATGGGTGCCACCATCCCCAGAGGTCCCACCAGGACCCTGAGATGCCACCACCATCGTCCCCATGGGTGCCACCACCCCCAGAGGTGCCCCCACCCTCCCTGCAGCCGCTCCACGTGTGCCCCCAGCCCACCCCCACCCCCCACCCGGGGGTCTCACCTGAAGGGATGCCCCTCCTCAGACTTCTGCACCGCCTGGATGACCGACTTGTAGACGCGGAAGCTGATGGTGACGGACAGCAGGGCCAGCACCAGGTAAGCCACCACGCTGACCACGCTGAAGGCGGCCAAGGACAGCAGCAGCAGCAGGCTGGAGGCGAACACCAAGCCGCTCCTCCTCACGTCCCTCCAGAAGATCAGGTCGTGAACTGCGGGACAGGGACACGGCGTCGGTCCCCTCTGTGTCCCCTCCTGTCCCCTCCCCGGCTCAGCGTTGATGGATCCCATCCACACAACGCTGGGGTCGGAAGGGACCTCGAGGATGACAGATCTCAACCCTCAGCTGCACGCAGGGCCACCGACCTCCGCGTTTCACGGCAGCCCAGGGCCCCCCATCCCACCGCAACCCCCAGCGTCACCCCATGGGTGCCACCACCCCAACGGGTGCCGCCACCACCCCAACGGGTGCCACCATCCCCACGGGTGCCACCACCCCCACGGGTGCCACCATCCCCACGGGTGCCACCACCCCCACGGCTGCCACCATCCCCACGGGTGCCACCACCCCAATGGGTGCCACCACCCCCACGGCTGCCACCACCCCCACGGCTGCCACCATCCCCACGGCTGCCACCATCCCCACGGCTGCCACCATCCCCACAGGTGCCACCACCGCAATGGGTGCCACCATCCCCACGGCTGCCACCACCCCCACGGCTGCCACCATCCCCCACGGCTGCCACCACCCCCAACGGGTGCCACCAACCCC